CAGCACCCAGACACAGCACCCAGACACAGCACCCAGACACACACAGCACCACCCAGACACACACAGCGCCACCCAGACAGACACAGCGCCCCCCAAACACACAGCACCCAGACACACACAGCACCCTCACTCACACACAGCACACACATATATATATAAAATAACCCTCAGTGAGTTAACAGACAAAGAAAATTAGAAACCTAGAATGTGACAGCAGATAAAAACACCCTCACACACAGCACCCCTCTTACATACACACACTGCGCCCCTCACACATACAATAAGTCAAAATATATATATATATATATATATATACACATACATACATACACACACACACACACACACACTACAGCACCCCTCACCCTGCACCACTACACACGCTCCAGATACACATTAGATCCCTTACCCTATATGCACTCTTAATCCTCTACACACACACACTGGGTCCTTTACACAGTAGATCTCCTACACACACACACTACATTCCTTGTCAGCAAACACATACAACATTCTCTAAACACACCCTCTCTGCAACCCCTACACACACTACGTCACCTATACACACACACTTCAGCCCATATGCACACACTCGCTGCATCCCCTATAAAACTATGCCCCCTATACACACACTCTCTACAGCCCCTAGCCACACATATTACACCACAAACACAAATTAAATTGACCTATTTATACAATACCACACCACTCTCTACACACATGCAATCCCACAAGCAGGCTCCAAACATATGCACCATGCACTTTCCTGGCCCTTTTGTCCTCTGGTATCCCACTTGTGGAAACACCAGAAACAATTTAAAAGCAAACACAGCACAAGCATGTTATTAAATTTGCTTGCGCTGCGCAGAACAAATTCAGGGTCTTTTTCTAATGTCAGAGCTCTTCAGCAGGGCTCTGGGCATTGAACCAACATGCTCACTGAAAGGGGGCGTGTTGTCATTAGTGATGACAAAACACACACTCTCTGGCCCCGCCCCTTTCTTAGGGGGCCGCTCTGATTGAAAAATGCCCGGGCCTAATTTTTTTCCCAGTCCGGCCCTGGCTGTGTCAGTGAGATTTGGATTTTGTTTGTCTGTACAGGCAGTGATGTAACTGCTCTGTCAGTGCTTTTCTTTTTATTTATATGTTTGTTATTTTAATCTGTACAGGCAGTGATGTAACTGCTCTGTCAGTGTTTCTCTTTTCTTTTAACTATACAGGCAGTGAGGTAACTGCTCTGACAGTATTAGGTTTTATTTTTTTGCACAGGCAGTGAATTAACTGGTTGTGTCATTTTTTTTTTCATTCACAATCAGCAGTGAAGTAAACTGCTGTGAATGAGATTTCATTTAATTGGGTTTTAGCAGCAAATAGTGAAAGTAACTGGCTGCTGTGAATTTTTTATTTAATTTTTCATTTTTTCTTACAAACTGACTGTGATGGAAAGAAGCTGCACAAAGCTAGCTGCCGCACTGCTTTTTTTAATACTAGGTCAACATTAATTTAAAATGCCCCACATTTCTTTTCATTCTAATTTTTAAAATTAAAAACATTTGTTTTTGCACAGGCTCAGTTTCCATAAACTTCAGTAAGTAGGCAGGCCCAGACTGGCCTTCGGGCAAACTGGGTGAATGCTGATGGTTCACGATGGCCACGGACTGGGGCCGACCAAGGAGATCACACCATCTCCCTGGCAGCCCCTCCAGGGCTGAGCGCAAGGAGAAAGTTGCGTGGTCAGCAAAGAATATGCAGCCTACCCAATACACATTAGCACCACAAGCAACCTCCATATGGATACAACATCACATGTAGTCTCTTCCGTATACATATACAAACAAACACACACACACTCTACCATGTTTTAACACTGTCACTCTTATGATCTCTGGTTTGTGTCCCACTCATGGGGAAACCAGACACAAGTCACCAGCAAACACAAAAGATGTGTATCATAAGAATAGCTTTCACTGTGTCAAACACAGGACATTTTTGCCCATGTGAGGGCTCTTTATTAGAGCCCTGCAAATGGGCTACCCTTTAAGGGAAATGTCCTGACATGCCCACTTTGGGGTCAGTGCGTGCCAATGATGACTCAACATGACCCTTCCTATTTAGCTGCTCTGCCTTAAAATGCTAGGGCCGAATTATTGTCCTAGTCTGGCCCTGTATGTAGGTGCCTATTCGAATAATTAAACTACCAGGAGTTCTTCGCCACCAGCACTATGTGCCAGTGGAAATACTATTCCTTAATAGTAATGTGCTCCGTAGTATGCCACATCCATCTAAAATTTACACTACTAGGGATGCCAAGGTCTATTAAATATGTAATGCCTGTCTTGCCCCTCAGTCCATTTGGAAGTAATGGGCTAATATGATTTGTAGAATCATACAAGCCCCTGCTCTTAAACAAATTAAAAGCATGACATTTCCAATAACCCAGACAGTAACTTTTAAATTAAAGATAGCCCAGACATGGGTTTAAAAAAGTGGCAAAAATACCACCACTGTAGCTAGTGTGGCTGCACCAGTGCCTGCAGGGTTTGGGGGCCAATCGTGTGGTTCACCCATTTAGCAGCGTGACCCAGCCCCTTTAATGTTGGCAGAGGTTCCAGGAGCAGAGCCTGTGCCAGGGAAATGGCTGCGGTACCTGATCAGGGCAGCTCCGTGTGGCAGACGGAATTGATGTCATCAGTCAAACAGCAGCTCGAGCCGCGCAGAGTTGCCCTAAGAAGGACTGCACAAACTTCAGGAGGCTCTCAAGCAGGTACAGATGATAGCTTCATCCTCAATGGCTGGGGTGGGAGAAAGGAGGAGAATCAGTGACTATCTATAGGAGTTATTAGAATAGAAAGCTGTAATACCTATGGTGAAGAGAGTGGTGTACTACCTATGGGGAGAGGATGGGATACTACCTATAGGGGAGAGGATAGGATACTACCTACAGGGGAGAGGATAGGATACTACCTACAGGGGAGAGGATAGGATACTACCTACGGGGGAGAGGGTGGGATACTACCTACGGGGGAGAGGGTGGGATACTACCTACGGGGGGGAGGGTGGGATAGTACCTACAGGGGAGAGGGTGGGATACTACCTACAGGGGAGAGGGTGGGATACTACCTATGGGTGAGAGGGTGGGATACTACCTATAGGTGAGAGGGTGGGATACTACCTATGGGGTAGAGGATAGGATACTACCTATAGGGGAGTGGGGTAATATTTATGAGGGAGAGAATGGAGTACTATTTATGGGGGATAGAATGCTGGTATTACCTATGCTGGAGAGAAAGGGATACTACTAATGGGTGTGAGGCGAATGAGTTCCAGCTATTTGGAGGGAGAGGCTTTGAATTAGCTTTTAACTATGGTGAGGGGGAGCATAGGCTATCAACTATAAGGGAGGGGAAATGGGCTACTAACTACAGAGGGCAAAGAATAGGCTTCTACAAGTAACAAGTAGGGGAGAAGAAAGGGCTACTCGCTATGGGACATTGATGGACATTAATGGGCTACTAACTATTGGGAGTTTGGAATGGGCTACAGACCATGAGGGGTACACATTTGCCATTTAGTTCCTACAGACAGTGCCACACCATACAAAACACCCCTGCATTCACACACGCACCCTTTTAAGTATGTTAACCCTTCACACACTAGTCTCTATATTCACACACACAAACTCTAGACACATATGCCCCTGCAATCAAACACATTGACACACACATAATAAGATTCAATATTTTTTCTGTATTCTGATACACACTGTGGGAGGGGGAATGGGAGTTAGAAAACAAGGTCAGCCCTGTCTGTATGGGTGTGCCAGTATGTTTGTTTATATGTCTGTGGCTGTATTTGTGTGTGTGTCAGTGTATGTATATCACTGATGGTATATGAGTGCATATGTGTGTCAATGTGTTTGTGTATATGTACGTGTCAGTGTGTACGTATATCTGTGCTTTAGTATGTGTGTGCATATATCAAACATTCAATTCTAAACATAAACACTACATACAAACACACCCCTGCAATGAAACATCAACACTGCATACAAACATACCCCTGTATTAAAAAACCAACATTGTCTATAAACACACCTTTACATTCAAACACCAAATCTACACACAAATATACCCCATCATTCAAACACCAACACCTCACACACCCCTGTATTCAAACACACTACACACAAGTATGCCACTGCTTCCATGAGGCAATAATATATACAAATACACAACTGCATTCAAATGCCAACACTTTACACACACTCCATACAAAAAATAAGCGTACATTCAAACACACAAAATATTTCCACAAAGTAAACCCAGCATGGATGGTCAAATTGTAGCTGTGGGAGATGCATGAGAGATGGTAATCTACCTTTTGGCCACCCTTGTGCTGGGGGGAGGCCCCCCTAATGTAGAGTGGACTGTGGTGCAAGAATTTTTTTTGTCACCTCTCCAAAACAATTTCTTGCACCACAGTCATCTCTACATTAGTTCCACCACTAATTTAAAGAAAAAAGAATTATAGGTGATTAAGTGAATGAAGAGATATGTGTGAGAGGGGGTGGATGGATGGCTGGATGAATTGATGCCTGGTGGGTAGATGGTTTGATGAAAGTGTGTTTGTGTGTATGTGTTGCATTGTTGATGAATTTGGAATAAATGGTGTGTGATTCAGTGAGTGAAAAGTGATGTG